AATAATTTATTAACGACAATGCTTTATAAGGTTTGTATATGTAATTGTATGAATATATGGACATGAATGTCTACTAAAATTTACCAAATAATTAATTTTATTATTTCTTTTCCCAAAACATCAAAGTGTTTATCCGTTTTGAATTGTATACAGCCTCTTTTTTGTGTAACTATAGCATATTCTACTTTGTCAAAATTTCTCCTTTATTCAGTCCAATTTTTGTGGCCCGTGCTGTTTGGCCTTAATGGCTGGCTGGTGTGGGCGCTGTCACTGTGTCGTTGCATACTTTTCAGCGAGCTGCCTTTGTTGTTGCTGTTTGCAATTTCACACTCGACTGCATCGCTGGCGATCTGAATGTGAATCAGAAATGTTTGTGAGTGTGTGTGTATGTGTGTGGGCCTCGTCTTGCTAAGCATTTGCAAAAGAGGCGTGGTCGCTGCCCATTGCACTGTTGCAAATTTATTGCGCATATGAATGCACCGCCGCGTCTCTCTCTCTCTCTCTCTCTCTCTCTCTCTGACCCCACTTTATCTCTTGGCGCCTTGCTTTGGCAGTCAGCGAACCCAGCCAATTGCTCGAAAATGACTTTTGGCACTAGGCAGTGGCAAAAAGCGGCAGTCAAAGAGCGTGCGTGGCAGTGGCGGCAAAGCATGATACTCAGAGAGCTGCAGCTGCAGCTTGAGCTGTGACAGAAGGGGGCGCAGCAAGAGCAGGGGCAGCTGCAGCTGCAGCAGAATCTGTACTTGGATGCTGCTAATGGACAATCGAAAACGCATTCAACTGACAATTTCGGTTCTCTTCCTCTCCCTCTCCCTCTCACAGTCTCTGCATGTCTGTTGGCAAATTGATTCTCCTCTACGGTCTGTTGCGGTTGCTTGGCAGCAGGCACTGTCAACAGGCGTCACCGCTACTGCCGCCACTAACCACCGCCAGGTGGCGCCCTCATTAAAACTGCACTGCCAACTCCTTCGCGTTGTCAAAAACATCCAAATGCGTGGAGCAGCAAAACTTGGAAAGAGGAAAACCAGCGAAGCCAGAGAAAACAGTTTGGCTTCTTGTTTTTGACTTGCATGGAAAACATTTGTTAATTGCTTTTTCAGACTGGCTGTGCAGGCAACTCGAACATGTGTGTGTGTGTGTGCAGGCAACTCGAACAAATGGGAGTAAAATAATTATACAAAAAAAAAAAAAAAAAAAAAAAAAAAAAAAAAAAAAAAAAAAAAAATAAAGAAAAAAATTAAATAGTTACATGGCTTAAGATATTTTTTTTTTTTTTTTTGGTTTATTAAAGCCATACGGGGTAACCTAGTAACCCCTTTTTGAGCTTCGCTTAAGAATGAAGTAAAAAGTATAAACAATTATGCCTGAGTGCAAAAGTATGTATAAAAAGAATAAAAAAAAAGAATAAACAAAGACTTTAATTTAATTCTTGAGCCTAAAAGTTTGAAGCAATGAAGGCAAAGTTGACCATGGACATGATTTTTATTAATAAAAAAAAAAAATTAAGTACTGACAATTATAAATGTTTAAATATGTATATAAAAATTGATTAACTAAATTTTTAGGCTTCAGAAAAAATGAATAAAAAATCAAAATAAAAAAAAATCCTTTCAACTAAAAAAAATAATAAATTATTTAGAATATTTTTTAATATTTTTAAAAATATATGAAAGCTAACAAAAAACTGATTATTGTATCACAAAATTCATAAAAGTCATCCAGAAGGAATATATTTTTAAAGTTTTATTTTATCGTTATCATAAAACATAAATGATTTTGAAAATAAATTTAACGCATTACCCATATAAATACCACAAAATACTATAAATGATAAAAATTATAAAAAAAAAAAAAAAAACTGCAACAAAAACTATTTTATTCATTAATATTCCATTCCGCTTAACATCGATAAACTTTTGCTGGCATTTACTTCCCATGCCCATAATTTATAGAATATCAATTCAATTCCTGATGAGCCCAAACGATTCACTCTTACAAATAATTCTGATTCAGCTATTTCGTCCTCAGTTTCTCTCCTTCCCTGGCGCTCTTCTCCCAAGCAATTCGCACTCATCTTGCGCAGACAAACTTTTAAGTTTTTAATTAATTTGTTTTGCTGCGGCTCGAGACACAACGCAGCAGCAGCAGTGGCAGCAGCTTTTCAACTCAACCACAACTTTTGCTCATTTTTCTCAGAGAAGAAAAGCAAAAGCATAAAAAAAGAGATGAAGAAGCTGAAAAAAGGTTAAGTGTTTCCATTTGGCAAACATTTAGTCAGCCCCAAAGAGCTGCTCTGCCCCAACCCCGCCTCCAACTCAAAGCCCAACGATAGGACCCAAGTGTGCGTGTGTGTTTGTGTGCGAGTTTTAATAGGCTTTTGTGTGGAAAATAAATTGATGCGGTGCACCTGTAAAACGTTACAGCAATAGGCATGCCATGTGGAAAGCAAGTCGTCTGGGGGTATTGGCCAACGTCTGTCTGTGGGCTCTGAGGTCGACCGCATTGTAAACGGGCACCACTCAACCACTCAACCAGAATTCGTGTTAATTTCGAGTAAATTGTTAAAAGATTGCCTGGTCTAGACAGAAGGCTATAACTAAGGGGATCTTTTTGAATATGCGTCTAGCCATGGGATTCTGAAGTAGAGACTACAAACTGTTTAAGTTTCAATTAGCTTTAAATATAGAATAATCCAGCCATGAGTCTTCATTCTGGCTGAACAGCAAATAGTTTTGGGCTAATAATATCAACTATCAATTCAGTGCAAACAAATTCCTTTCTCTTATCGTACTTTATTAGCCAGACATATAGAACAGTGAAATCTCATCCGAAGCCCGTAAATTCACGCAGTATATACGACATGGCAGCAGGATTGTCCTGCTGCACCAGATGGCCGGCGCGATACACCCAGAACATGCTGAAGCCTCCGCCCTGCTTCTCATAGCCCTCCAGCATGCCATCGATGCGCATGGGGCGACGTGTGGCGCTTACGTACAAATCCTTGCGATGCCATCTCATGCGATTGATCCAATTGACGGTGCCAGGTGTCGCGCACAGCAGATCCAGCATGCCCGAGTAGACGCCCACGCGCACCGGTGTCTCATTCAGCAGTCGCGTAACTGAAATGAAAGAAATGCTGGGATTAGCTCAAGTAGTTGAGGTAGACCTAAAGAGGGAAATGTGATTGTTATAGAAATGCTATATTATAAACACTTTATTGTTGTGAAGAGCCCTGCCTAGGTATAAAAAGCTCAAGTTTAATATATTTCAAAAGTAAATTTATAGAAAACTTCTCCTTAAAATATTTTATGGCTGAAAATGCTTTAAAGCTATACAAATATTTTTGATTTTTATATATTCTAGTTTATTATACCTACTTTAAATAAATTATATAGAGGGAAAGCTTGATTTTAAAAATATTTTCTAGCTAGTTTCTATGCATTTTGTTATCTGTTTTGTTATCTGTATTTATTTCTTACTATAAAATGGTTTTAAAAAAAAATTCGTTTTTCTATGAGAATTCTCTTTAAAAAAAAAAAAAAAA